ACAGACACAGAAACGCCCAGGAGCTGGGGAATGTGATGGAAATGGGAGGGGAAAACGTGAGCCTGAGGGGGGCTCAGTGCTGAGTCCTGCTCCCCCAAAACAAAGGTGCCATTATCGTTGCACCTGTGCCTCCCCAAGACGTGGAACCCACTTCAATTCTGTGCCCTGGGCAATCCAGTAACTAGGGGCTTCTCTTCCCGGCAGTGTTCGCTCCCGATAGAACTCAAGTGCAGCCCTGTCCTGACCCTCATCGGCACACGCCTCTCTAGCCCGCAGTCAGTGGTGCTTTCATCTTGAGCTAGCTGGCTTGTTAGTGGGTCTGGGTTGAAGCTCAAGTGCTGCTGGTGCTCAGCCAGTGAAGCAGTGGGGGGGATGCAGCTCCGGGCTACAGCTCGAGTCTGCACAGCTCAGCAGCTGCTGCCCCAGTGCCACTGTGCTGCTGGAGTGTTTGCAGTGGAGCCAGGCCAGCTCGAGGGGAGTCACTTGAACCAACGGATGCAGTGCAGAGCAATCCTGAGGGGTTAATTGTGTGTGCGCGAGAGAGTGCACCTGTGCACGTGGGCTCTGCCAGAGTCCGAGAGAGCTATTGACTAGCAACACCCGGCAGCCCTCCAAAATGGCACTCTGTTGCGCAGGCTCTTCTAACCTACAGCTGTGTTTAAGGAAGGAAATTTGGAGACAGTTGTGTCTGGTTTTTGACTCAAATGCCCAGTCGAAAAGGGACCCTGGCGGCTCTGGTCAGCACCACTGACTGGGCTATTAAAAGTCCGGTCGGTGGCACAGTGGAGCTAAGGCAGGCTCCCGGCCTGCTGTGGCCCTGCGCGGCCCCCAGAAGCAGTGGCTTGTCCCCCCCTCCAGCTTCTACACATAGGGACAGCTAGGGGGCTCCGCATGCTGCCCCCACCCCAAGCGCCAGCTCTGCAGCTCCCATTGGGCGGGAACAGCGGCTAATGGGAGCTGCGGGGACGGCGCCTGGCCGTACCTCCACGTAGGACCTGGAGGGGGGACATGCTGCTGCTTCTGGGAGCTGCTTGAGGTAAGCGCTGCCTGGAGCCTGCATCCATGACCCCCTGCCACACCCCAACCCCATACCTCAGCCTGGAGCCCCCGCCCATACTCTGAACCCCCCAGCCCAGAGCCGCCTCCTGCATCCCAAACCCCTAATTTCTGGCCCCACCCCAGAATTTACAGCCCCAGCCGGGGGGGTGGAGCAAGCAGGGGCAGAGCCTTGGAGACGGGGCAGGGCAGGGATGGGGCCTCAGAGGAGGGGCGGGGCCAGGGTGTTAGGTTTTGTGGGAGTAGAAAGTTGTTGACCCTAGTGTGGAAGGGCAGCCTAAGAGCCAGTTCAGCCGCTATCCCCAAGTCTCCCTCCCCTTTGTAGGAATGTTGATGAAAGGGAAATGCAGGCAAGTGCCTTGTTGCCTTCAGCTGCCCCACACTGGGACATGGTGCGCGGTGTGCTGAATTAGTCCCTTCCTCCTAGAGATCCCCCCTTGCTTTTACTTCCCTAAAGCGGCAGCAGCGTGGAGTCTGTCCCACCGCACAGGGCTCTGGTTTCAGTGACGGGAGCAGATCAATGCTTCATCTGGGCAATGCTGGGTCGGCTCTACCTGCTCAGGGCACAAGATAACTAGAGCTCTCAAGTCAGGGCTTGGGAAGAGCAGGGCTGGGGAGGTGTTGCCCCATTTCCTGTGTGGGTGGTGAGCTGAAAGAGCAGGGGCTGTAGTCAGAGGGGAAGGCCGGCCCAGACAGTGCAGGAGAGGGAAGTGGGGAAGCCCACGATGTGATGCAGCAGGGCTGGGGAGCAAAGCCCCTTGCGCATGCCCAGATGCACAGCAGTGCAGGTCGGTGGTGGGCTGGTGAAAAGGGTGCGGGGGACAGAGCTGGGACGTAAAAGCCACTGTGGCCTCCAGGATAGTGCAGTCAGGTGCAGAGCTGGGGAATGATGCCTAGGGCAAGGCATGGTGGGAGAGGGGAGGCAGGACTGAGGAATTCTGCCATGGGTGCGGGGGTGCAGTGCTGGGGTTAGTGGGATCAGACAGAACTGGAAGGAAGGTAAGGCTCCTAGCTTTGACTAAACCCTGGGAACTAAACCCACAGGCCACTTCCCTGTCCCCTCTGGCCACAGCGACATGCTAAGGGAGCTCTGTCCCTGGGTGTAGAGGGACGTAGGGCTCTGTGCAAGTCACCATTGCTTTTTGGGCATGAGGCTGCAGCTGGGGACGAGAGGGTGGGGCTTCCATTGGGGGGCTGCCATGATACTGGAGCAGGAAGCAAGAGATTAAAGCATTGTCTAAACAGCCTTTGCAGCTGCCCAGCTCCTCCTCCAGCGCGGGACGCTCGGGCTCTGTCTAACTGCTGCCAGCCCCTCACGTGCACCCGCCAGGGATGGACCTGGCTGCTGTCCGTCCTTCAGCTGGGTTCCCAGTACAGCCCGTCCAGGGTCCACTCACCTTTAGGGATCTGCAGAGCTCTCTGTGCCTTGTGCTTCCAGTCACGTGGCACTGTCCCCCGGGAAACCTGTCTCTGCGTTCCCTCTCCAGCACGTGCTCCTGTCCATGAGTCCCAGACAGCATGATGTCCCCTGAGCATCAGGCTGACCAAGGAGGGGAGGTTTAGCTCTGTGATGCACCTGCAAAGATTTGACCCCAGGAGTGGCCGCATGCCAGCAATGCAGTCCACCCGCTGTGCAAGAACCAGGGTAGCTCTCCCTGCAGTGTTTGACTCCCCGAAGCCCTGCCATCACCGCTCTAGCCATATCCCTGAGAGCACCCCTGCTCCCGGGGCGCTGGCCCTGCTTGTCTGCCACGATGCTCCTTGCCTGGTGCATGCAGCTCTGCAATGGTCAGGGGCTCCATTTGTTCCCAGCCTCCATTCCCCACCTCCCCAATTTGCCTGACCCCCTTGAGTCCATTGCTGGTGCTGAGAGGATGGAGATAGCTGCAGAGACATCCAGAGGGTTGGGAGGAGGCACTTCTTCCCAGATTTCTGTCTCACTGCTGGACGCGTGTTGGGGCTGGGAGTCGGAACTCCTGAGTTCTATTCCCAGCTCTGAGAGGGATTGGGAATCTAGTGGCTAAAGCGGGGTGTGTGTGTGTGGGGGGGGGTATATCAGGACTCCTGGCTTCTATCCTTAGCTCCAAGAGTCCCCAGTGAATTCTAGTTGGTAAAAGAATAGATGGGGTTCTGCTCTTGGCTATGGAGGCAGCAAGGCCTAGTGGTTAGAGTAGGGGATTGGGAGTCAGGACTCCTGGGTTCTATTCCCACTGCTGCAGAGTTCTTCGAAAGGGCCAGCGCGCTCCGAGTGATGTGTGTGCCTGGCAGAAGGAGGAGCACCGCAGGTGGCTGTAGTGGAGGGGGCGTTAGGACCTGGCTCACTGCCCCTCTCTGCGTGTTGCTTGGACAGCTGGTTGCAAACGCCCCAGCCTGGAAACCAGGCTCATCCGGACCAAAACCAGAGGAAAGACACAAGATGATAACCTGCCTGTACAATAGCTCCCGCCAGTCATGCCTGCCCGTTTCCACTCCATGACTTCATCTCTTCCCTCCAGGGAGCTGGGCTCAGAGAGCCATAAGCTGGATCATAAGGCTAAGAAAGGTTGCTGCCAAACTCCCACTGTGCACCAGGGATGGATCCCTGAAATAACCTTACGGCCAGCTCAGGGGGGCAGTGGCCCCTTTCAGCTCAGGGAAGTAGCTCTCCCCCCAACCCCCCAGTGTATCCCACCCAGTCTAGTCTCTACTACCCCCATTTCTCTTCCATTCCTCCTGCCCGGTCTGCTTCTGCCTTGCTCGACCATCTCCCACACTCAAGTGATCCCAGGTTGGTCTGCAGAGCAATTGCTTAGCCATGGGGATGGTGCTGCGCAAGACGCCGTCCACAGCATATTCGTCTGGCATGCAGCAGCGGATGGTGAGATGAGAAATGGGCCGAAAGCAGAACCTTTGAGCCAACTGACTCCCTTCATCCCATCTCCTAAGGAATGTGGCTTGGATACAATAGAAGCCGGGTGCAAAGAAGGTGAAGAATGGCTCGCACGTGGGTGGGGTGACTAGGCCAGGGGCTACGGCATATGGAGGCAGTCACGCGTTCAAACACAGCCCAGGCTGGCAGCAACTGCAAGTTCTTCCTATCTGGGGCCCGTGTGTGAAATGAGTTCGTCTCAAACCAGCTCCTAGCACGAGAGGCGTCCCCATCTCCAACACCTCAGCAGAGGGCTCTGGAGTCTGGCCACCCTAGGTCAGGACTGGTGCAGGTTGCAGGGAGCTTGCTCTGCTGTTTCTGGGGCAGAGGAGAGACAGAGGTCTTCAGGCTGCAGGGCTGGCAGCCTGTCCCAGACTTTTCAAGGAGCAAAGAGAATTGATCAGGGGAGTGAAATATGCATGTTGGAAGGGCATGCCTGGCCAGTGGGTGTGTCGGGCAGAGGCTGGCACCCTACCCCTCACTGGACTCTGTAGGGGGGTCTGGGCTGGCATGTTTGTGCGAGTGCACTTTGGGGACATGCTTGTCTGCATATGTGTGCACATATGTTTGCATGCATGAATATGCACATGAATGACCGCTTGTCGTGTGCCTTCATATGTGTCTAGAAGTGCATGTGTGTGCGCGTGTGGGGAGTGCATAAGTGTCTCCATGTATCTGTGGATGAATGCATGGCTCTAGCGTGTATGCTTGTATGTGAGAGCCCGCGAGTTCTCAAGGCCTTCGTGTTTTGTAACCAGGCGGCGTGAGCCAAGCTCCGTGTGTGTGCAGTTCATTATTTGAGCGCTCTGGCTGGGCTCCCTCTCCCTGGAACGCATCCTCACTCCCACACTCTGGAAATGTCACTGGAAACTCTGAATGGCCTTTCGCCGGCTCCAGATTCGTGTTTGTTTTCACTGCAATGCTGCATGGTGCTGGGGGCTTTCCGGATAAGCCGGGAGGGACAGTGGTGGGCTGGGGAGGGAAGGGACAGACTTCTTAGGCACTCTGTGGGCAGGCCAGAGAGGATTTGCTCAGCTGCTGACCTTGCTAGGGTCACTAAAACCCCAGAGCGATGGGCAGCTTGTCCCCAGTGACTTTCCCCTGCAAATTCTCTGCTCCTCGGAGAGTGTCCCCTTGCGTCACTATCCGTATCTGATGCTTACTGGCAGGGGACATCCGGCCCTGGGGGAAGCTGTCTCAATCCCACAGTGTGTGAGTGACGGAGGGCTCTCTCTGGGGCTTTCTTAAAAGAGGGATTTCTCCTGTGCTGGGGGCTAGCTGCAGGAGCATGGTGCTAGCTGGCCGGATGCCCCTGGAGCAGGGAGGGCCAGCTTTCCCTCCATCCCCTGGTGTCAGAGGGCACGTTCCTTCTCCGTGGATTGTTTCCCCCCCAAGTTTGCTTGTTTTTCTGTTGTGTGTGAGTTGCTCCCCCTGCAGCTCGCAGCACGACTATTAGACACAGAATCCCACACACTCAGCGCAGCGGTGCCCTCCCACTGCACCGTACTGCTGCTGGGAGCCAGCCCTTCGGACGCTCTGCCTGGGTTAGCAGCAGGCATGGGACTCAGTCAGCGCTGACAGCTGCCACCCGGGTCTTGCTCACCGTGCTAGCTTGGGAAGTGCCCTGCTCTCTGGGAACATCGGACGGAGTTCCTTGCCAGGCTCCTCTAGGAAGGTAGGGAGCTGCCTTCTCTCTCTGCTGTGTGTGTGGTGGGGGGGAGTGGGGGTGTATAGGCCAGGACGGGAGTGGAGGGAGTGGAATTCTGATCACAGGAACACTCCTATTCGTAAAAAGCCAAAGGCATGAAGGTTGTTAGAATGATCTTTATCAGACATCTCCTGCCCCCTGCCCCTGGGTGGTGTGATTCGAGCCCAGCCTGGATTCCCTCCTGCACCAAACCCTACAAACTCTCAGCTTCCCCCTGCTTTGGGGAGAGAGACCAGAGCTACAGGCGGTTTGTGTGCAGAAGGACCGGAGCCATGGCACTGCCAGCCTGGAGCATGACTACACTTGCAAACGGAGATTGCAATGTCTGTTGCCTCTGCCTGTCTCATTCCTGGATTATAGGGTACATGAGCGGAAGGGAATGGGATCCAGTGGTTAGAGCAAGAGGGACTGGGACAGGATGCCTAGGTTCTCTTCCCAGCTCTTGGGGAGGAGTGTGGTCTGGTGGTTAGAACAGGGGGCTAGAAGTCAGAACTCCTGAGTTCTTGGCTTGGCTCTTGAAGACAGTGTGGGAGGCTGAGAGTCAGGACTCCTGGGTTCCTTTCTGTAACCATGGGCAAGTCAGGTCTCCTCTCTGTGTTTCAGTTTCCCCCCTATAAATCAGAGATGATAATAATCCCCACTTCACACGAGGGCTGTGAGGCTCTGTTTGTTCTTGGTAATGGTGATTCTTGTGTTTCTAACATGACTCTCAGTGCAGCATGCAACTGAAAATAACAGCGCTCAGCGTGTCTTCAGCCCAGCGCCCTCTACCCCAGGCTGTCAAAGTGCTGCACCCAGAAACCACAACCCCCCTCTTGCTCTCATTAAAACGAACAGCCAGAGGCAGTGCAGTCCAGTGAGCAGGGCACTAGATTGGCTCTCAGGACACCTGGGTTCCATTCCCAGCTCTGCCACTGACCTACAGTATGATCTTGGGCAAGTCACTGCCCTGTCACTCTGCCTCAGTTTCCCCTCCTAGCCTTTGTCTTGTCTGTTTAGGCTGAAACTCTTCAGGGCAAGGACTGTCTATAAATATGTGTGTACAGCACCTGGCATAACTGGACTGAGGGAGGGATATAGTTCTCATTATCCATATAAGTGCCCAATCCTTTTTTGAGTCTTGCTAAGATCTAGGGATATCTTGTGGCTTGAGTCCCACAGGCAGATTGTGTTAAAAAAATAAAAAACATTTCCTTTCAGCATTTATAAATGTGCTGCCTTTCAGCTTCATTGCCCGGGACCCTGATCATGTATCATGAGGAAGGGTAAAGAAGGGCACCCCATCTCCACTCTCTCTGCCATTTAGTATTCTACCTGCCCCTAGCCTGTCCCCTCTGAGCCATCTGCTCTGCTAACTGACCCATCTTTGTAGTCTCTCTTCACACAGGAGTCTCTCCAGCCCCTCTATCCGCTCTTTCCTGATCGAGATGGGTGACCGGTGCTCATCACTCTAGCTAGGGACACCCCATTGATAATGTCATCATAATAGGGTCATCTCCTTTGGGTTGCTCTTTGGACTTACCCCTGAATTGGGCCCGGTATTTGTAAAGCGCTTTGAGATCCTTGAGTGCCAGGACCCGGAGAGGAGTGACTGGTGGTGATGATTATTGCTCGGGGTTAAGCTGTCATATTACAAGCTGGGGGGGTGGCGGCTGGGTGGGGAATGGAAATGTTCGAGGGGACGCCAAAGGGAAAAATGCTTCATTGGCTCTCAGAGAGCTCTGCACTCCACCTAATTGCATCCAGACCCTTGCGAGTGAAATGCAAGCGCCAAGCAAAGAGTGATGCAGGCTCTCTGCAACTGAGCCATCCTGAGCCAGGCACAGCCTGGGTTTCCTGGCAGGGGTCTGAAGGGAAAATGTCGGGCAGTAACTGTAATAGATGCCCCACCCGGCAATCTAGCTCTGGGGAGGGAGTTTCCTTTCTCAGAGTGAGGATTGCAAGAGGCAGATAAACGCACTGGGCTGGCACCATCAGGGCTGGCTTTAGGCCAATTCAACCAATTCCCCTGAATCGGGCCCCGCGCCCAACCCCGGTACGGCATACCGGTGTGGCCCGGCTTCCCCAGGGGGCAATTTAAAGGCCCTGGGGCTCCCAGCAGGGGCTGGAGCCCCAGGCCCTTTAAATTGCCACCAGAACCCCACTGCTGGAGCCCTGGGGTAAGGCTGCGGGGCTATGGGGGCTATTTAAAAAGTCCAGGGCTCCCGTTGCTTCTACCGCCCCGGCCCTTTAAATAGCCACTAGAGCCCCGCCGCTTCCCCAGAGCTCCCACGGCTATTTAAAGGGCCGGGGCGGTAGAAACAGGGGAGCCCTGGGCCTTTTAAATAGCCTCCAGAGCCCTGGGGTAGTGGGGGGGTTCCAGGGGGCTATTTAAAGGGCCAGGGCTCCAGCTGCCTCTGCTGCACCCCCTGCCCGCACCAGCCCCGCAACCCCTGCCCTGCCCGCAGCCAGCCCCTGTCTCCAGCCAGCCCTGCACCCCCTGCCTGCAGCAGCCCCGCAACCCCTGCCCTGCCCGCAGCCAGCCCCTGTCTCCAGCCAGCCCTGCACCCCCTGCCTGCAGCAGCCCCGCAA